CCTGTGGCAGGGCAGATATAAGCCCGGCCCGGAGGCAGCAGCTGCTACTTGGATATCTCCATATCCACCAGGCGCTGGCCCGGGGGGGCGAAGGGCCCCACGAGCCAGGACAGGGTGGTGTTGTGGGCCACGTGCTCCACCAGCTCATCCATGAGCTCGCGGGCCTTGGCTGCACGACTCCGGGCCTGGGCCAGCACGCTACCCGTCACATCCTGGAAGGAGGCGACGTTGGCGAGGGCGGCCCGGAGCTCCTCGACGTTCTGCCGGACCTGGCCCGCCTTGTCCTGGATGCCAGCTGGGAGGCCCTGCAGGCTGGACACCAGGGGCTGGCACGTGCTCTGGAGCTGCTGCGTCAAGCCATGCAGCACAGCCAGGGTGCCTGACTCCACCTGCTGCAAGGGGACAAGGGGAGGATGAGGCACCTGGGCAGCCTGAGGGGGCCCTGGAGACTCCACCATCCACCTCCACCTACCTCCGGTTGCACCAGGTCCTTGCCACCTCCTGGCTGCTTCTTGCTCCACTCCAGCCACATCTGCTGCAGCTTCTCCTGGCCTCCCTGCAGCTTCTGGTCCATGCCCTGCTTGAGGTGCTCCACCTGGAAGGGAAGGGACAGCCTGGCATGGGTGGCCTGTTGCCAGGCCCCGACAACAGCCCCTGGCTGATGGAGCCAGGGGGGCCAGGTCCTACCAGGTCCAGGGTGCGCTGGAGCTGGGCCAGCACGTCCTGGCTGCTCTGGCGGGCGCTCTGCAGCTTGCCCAGCGAGTGCTGGAGGGCACGGTGCCGCAGCTTGGTGGAGAGCGAGCCCAGGCGCACAAAGTAGCTCTGCTGCTGCTTCTGCTGGTCCGTTTCAAAGCCTTCCACTGCTGGGGCCAGCTGGGCTGGAAGAGACAAGCCAAGGCTGTGAGGGGTCCTGAAAGACCACCAACCCCATGCAGGGCATCTCCTGGTTTGGGCACTTGCACATGGCCCTGCTCACCCCAGGGTGCCCACACAGAGCCCACCAACCCCTTCCAGGCTCTACCCACTGGGCCAAGGGGCTCCTGATCCTCCCCCATGTCTCCAGGGAGTTGCTGCCAGCTCCTTACCCAGCTCCTCGTCCGTCATGGGCAGGTAGTGATCCACCAGCTCCTCCGACTTCTCCAGCACAGAGCCCACCCCGCTCACCACCATCTGGCCCACAGTCGAGCCCATGACCGTGTTGACGCCGCTGGTCACCGCAGACTTGGTCAGCTCCATGCTGCCCTGCACGGCCCCTTTGGTCATATCCATCACACCCGTTACCCGGCTGGTCACCGCATCCTTGGCCCCAGCCATGGTGCTGGTGAGAACATCCTTGGCCCCCGTCACAGTGGAAGTCACCAGCTGCTTTGTGTCCGAGATGAGCTAGAGAGAAGCGAATACCCTCCGTTAGGCAACTACAGGGCAGACATGAGCCTGCTCGCCGGGACTGAAGCACAGCGTTACCTTTTCCGTGGGCTGCTGCAGGATGGGCAGCTTCTCCTCCAGTTTATCCAGCCCCTTGCAGGCGTATTCGTTGGCCGTGGAAACTAGAGACAAGGAAAGCACTCTCTTAACTACCTGCCAAAGTTTCCTGCTAGTGCCAGTTTTCTGGGCACCCCAGCACTGCC